GTAGCCAGAAGTGGACAGAGTCCCGGCAGTGGGATGGGGCGAGCAGCTCTGGAGGCAGCGGCTGGCCCCACTCATCCCAGGACAGTGATGCCATTCCCCAGCCGAAACAATCCAGTCCCAAAGTGACCCTGCTTGGAGGGAACAGCGTCCCCTGAAGCAGGCTCCCAGCAGGAACCCGGCCTCATACGGACCCCGCTAACTCCCACTCAGCCCCAAGTCCAGCACAGACCCCATTAACCCCAAACCAGCCCCTACAAAACCCCAAACCCAGTCCCCTGACAGAAACCCTGCTGACAGCCAGCACAAGTCCCCAAGCACAACCCCCGGTGTCCCCTGGACCAGCGTCACCCGCACAGCCCCTGCTGTGACCTGGCACAAATGTCTCAGCACAGACCTCACCGTCCCCCGAACCCGGCACAGCCGCCAATAACCACTGGCACCAACCACCCCCACAGCCCCACGAATCCCCCAAAAAGTCCCGTCAAGCACAGACCCCGTTATTTACCAGCACAGATCCATCACCCCAGCACAGACCCCGCCGTCCCCGGGAGCCGCCGGCCCCTGCGCCGGACCCAGCTTCACCAGCGCTGTGACCCCACCGGTGTCCCCACAAGGGACAATGGACACCCAGCCTTGCTGGGCAACCCATCCCACCCGTGGGGATGCAACCCTGCTGGGGGGACCCATCCTGACCCTGGGGATCCATCCCTGCCTGAGGGACTCATCCTGCCGGGGGAATCCAACCCTGCCCAGTGGACCCATCCCCGCCGGCTGCTCCTGGGGCGGCCGCAGGGTCTGGTTCCCTCCCCAGCAGCAGCCGCTAATTCAGTGCAGCTGGGCAAGGGCTGGGCATGTGTCTTAAATCAGGGAAGAAGGTCAAAGAAAAGTAAGACAGGAGCCGAAAAAAGCAGCAGCGAGTTCCAAAAACAATACTTGGCCGGGGCGGTGGGCGGCTGATCTTCCTTGGTGGCCGGTTATTCAGACGAGCCCTACAAATTGCTGCCTTCTCCCGGCCCCGCCATCCTCCCCAGGCAGCCGGCGGCAGGGCCGGCCGCAGGGCCGGGGCTGGAGGAGGGGGGACACACCGCACTATTGTCCCCATCCCTGTCCACCCGCTGGTGGTGGCACTGCTGCAGGGATGTCAGGCAAGAACCAGGTTAACCGTGTTGGGGGAGGCAGCACCCTCGGGTGCCGCTCGCCCTCTCTGCGATGGCCCAGGGGATGCTCGGTGCCTTGCCACAGGGCAGCAAGCGCAAGCCCCAGTTTCCGCAGGGCTCTGAGCAGACGCTGGCTTTGACCCCCCCCTCCCCACGGTGCCGAAGATGTTCAGATCCCATTTGGACCTGCATCTGGAACCCCCGAAACCCCATTGCGTGCGGAAGCCCCTGTGGCCCTCGGTGCCCCCGAAGCCATCGTGGCCACCCCCCTCCCCAGGATTAGAGAGGGACGGGAGCTGCACCGAAAGCCGATCAGCCCCTCACCAACTTTCCCTCCCGCCCAGCTTATCCCGCGCTGCAATGCCGTGCGGAATTAAGCCGCTTTAGCCGGGGCCAGGCGAGGGCGGCCGGGGGGCACCAGGACAGACAGGCGGGCGGGGGGGTGGGGGGCAGCAG